AAATGTGATAGATGTCTGTACATATGGGACACAAATAGAAAGCAATTGACCTGAGGCTGTTCCTCACCTATAACAAACAAGGCTTTAGCCCTTTAGAAACAACCTAATGCCCACAGAGATCAGAGTCAGGGGTCTGTTTATTCAAATCAAAAAGATCTTACACACTTGAGTCCACTTAATTCTCAGTTGGGAGATAGTTTTCCTCTTTCTTCCTGCCCACTGCAGGCTTCTTCTCCATTATAGGAAGAAACTCCTCACTTATGTAGAAGCATCTCAGTCTCTGCCATGAACTAGCTTGTGCTGGGCTCTGGCCCTTCCTTCTCCAAAGCTCTTGAAGGGTGGAGCAGGTGGTCAGGCTGTGTGTTCAGCTGCAGACTTCCTGTTGCCCAACAGCAATTTATCCACAGACTGTGAGCAAGACTAAAATTCTTGCAAGATAATATTTGTTTTTTTCTCAGTCCAAGCATTTTAGGACTTTCTTAGCTTTTTCCTTAAGATAACCTATTAATGGGGAGGGGGGTGAGGAAATGGTAGGGGAAGTACAGGAATATAAAATGGAGGAAGGAAAAGGAGATTTTGCCTACTAGTTTATAGCTTTTGTTTTCCAAAAGTCCAAAGAATCAGATCCCACTAAAGAAGTTATGATAAATGTTTCAGAAAGAGCAGAGTTCCTACTATTTAGGAACAAGAGGGGATAGGGAATGGAAGGAGTAATCATGATAATTAAGAGAACAACCGATGTGTTTGGTGACTTGAAGAAGATTCCTGTGGTCCTGAGAAGAGAGGGGGGCAGGGGGTTAGTGACGAAAGCTGAGATGCAGATGGGACCTGGCTAAAATAACGAAGACCCAGATGGTTGTTTGGGGTCCAAAGAGTTTGGACCTTCTTACTTTCCAAGTGGATCCTTGGAACAATGACCTGCTTTGATAAATGAACACCAAAATTACTCCCCAGTCCAACTCTCCATCACTATATAAACACCTGTTTTGTAGGTTCTGCCACAGGTAGAGGGGAGACTTTCCACCTCTCAGCAGACAGAGTAAGATCTTATAACAAGAAATTAACTTGAGTGACATCAGCAAGATGGTAGAATAGGAAGCCCCAAGTCCCCATTCTCCCATGGAGACACCATATTAACAATATATGGACCAAACTGCCTTGTGAACCCTCTGGAAACCAGTTAAGAAGTCACAGCATCCTAAGCAAGCACAAAGCCAAGAAGAGATGCATCTAAGTACATTACCCACCCTGACACAGTGTGATATGATTGGGAGAAAACTCCCAACTCCAGCATTTTCCTCAGGAGGGAAAGATGAGTGGAGGCACAGAGCATGTGTCCAGCATTCTGGATTTTCGAGGGGCTACTGGAGGGATCGGTTTCTGTCTCACAGATTTGGAGTGCCGAGGGAAACTGGCACAGTTTGGATGTGAGATTGGGAGTCGCTAAGAACAAAGCAAGCACTGTGGCTTGTCATAGCTCCAGAGTGACTGTGGTACCTCAGAAGGATGCAGGGGAAGATAGAGTGTGGGCTTCAGAGAAGAAGCAGGCAGACCTCTTTAACTGGAAGGTTTACACACACATGCCCAGAGAGGACGCATCCCCAGAAAAGGCTGGAAAGGTCCCCAGAATCTCTAGCCATGTTGATTGGCAAAGGTCTTCCCTTTTATGAAACCAGTTTGAAAGACTGAAGGAGGTGGCTTTTTTTTTTTTTTCAAATGGCCAGATCTCAACAAAAGATCCCAAGGCATAGAGAGACAGGAAAGCATGGCCCAACCAAACCAAATGAAATCTTTAGAAACTGACCCTAAGGAAAAGGAGAGCTATGAATTAGCTTATCTCGAAAAGATTCCACACTCACATTTATGGCAGCATTATTCACAACAGCCAAGCAAACAACCAAAATACCCATTGGCAGATGAATGAATAAGCCAAAAGTGGTATATGCATACAATGGAATATTATTCCGCCTTCAACAACAAGGAGATCCTACCACAAGCTACAATGTGGATGAAACTTGAGAACATTATGCTATGTGAAATAGGCCAGTCAGAAAAAGACAAACAAGATATGAGTCTATGGTTGTGAGGCATCTAAAGTAGTCACATTCTTAGAAACAGAGCCAGAATGATGGTTGCCAGGGGCTGAGGGTGGAGGAAATGGGGAACTGTCATTCAGTGGCTATAGAGCTTCAGCTTTACAAAAAACTGAAAAAGTTCTAGAGACCTGTTGCACAGTAATGTGAACATACTTAACACTACTGAACTATATACTTAAAAATGGCTAAGGTGATAAATTTTATGTCTTTTTTTAGTTATAATTAAAAATAAAAACTAAAGAAATTAATAGTTAAAGAACAATAATGATTTGTTTCTTGCATGCTTGCCTTTACACAGAAGTCACAGAAAAACTTTTTGCTTCTAGATCAGTGGTTCTCAATTTTGTCCCCTCTCCAGCAGGGGACATTTGGCAATATCTGGTGACATCACATCTGGGGTGAACAGTGTTTCTAGCATCTAGTGAGTAGGGGCAAGAGATCCTGTTAAACATCTTGTAGTGCACAAGACAGGAACCCCCTGCCCTGCAACAAAAAAAAAATTATCCAAATCAAAATGTCATTAGTGCTTCTTCAGACAAGCACTGTCTTAAATTATTAACTGCAAGTGTTAACTGCTGTGTCATTCCTTTCCCTTTCCCTCCAGGTTGGGTTGGCAGAGTTCAGACTCTGGAAACAACAGATGGTCAAGGTGGGATGGGTCTAAGTTGAAAGAACAGAGAGAGGAGCCTCTTGTTCAGATATTACTGAAGCCCAAAAGAAAAGAAAAAGAAGGTGGAAGATGCAGAGTGGGAAAGAGAAGCAGGGAGGGAGATTGGAATTGGGAAATTGGGTGGGGTGAGTGTTGAGGGAAGACCGTTAATAGACCCCTTTGGGGCCACTAGTCTGTACGGTTCTGTACCAAGCACCTTACGGTGTCGTCTCAGGCAATCCTTATAAATCCTCTGAGATCATTTAAAGTTATAATAGTATAGAGAGGAAGACAGACTGTAGAGGGAATCTTCGCTTGGTCGATAGATTTAATTGGTTATTAGCACATTCCACTGACGGGAAAGAGGTTGTGGTTGTCCCTTATGGGGCTGGGCTCCTTCTTTGTCAAAGCCCAGGAGGGAGCTGTACCCCACTATTTTACTGGCTGCTGGGATGGTGAAAAGGGCACAGGGCATGATGGGAAAATGCCAGGAGGCACCTTGGGAAAGGATAAGGGGTACCAGAAGCCCAGGAGTGAGAGGGTAAAGATTCTTCTGTAGCTCTCCCACTGCTTCTGGGCAAGTCTGTTCCCTCTCTCAGACTCATCTCTAGAATTTAAGAAAAAAAAAATTGCATTTAGTAATCTGTGCCATCTGTCCCGGGAACTATGCCAAACTTAATGTTGTTTCTTAATTCTTTTCTTTTTTTTCGTAGGCTCCATGCCCAGAGTGGAGGCCAATTCGGGGCCTGGCGAAGGGCCCGAACCCATGACCCTGAGATCAAGACCTGAGCCGAGATCAAGAGTCAGATGCTCAACCAACTGAGCCACCGAGGCGCCCCAATTCTTTTCTTTGAAGTATGGAGTTAAGTGCAGAACCCACGGCCCCCTGAGGTGACAGTGATTGTCCAGCTGTGTTCCCAGGTTCTTTCTGGCACTCTCCCAAGGGAAGGAAGAAGCTTGTGGGATGGGGCTGTTCAGCTTCTGTGACTGGCTCTGAGCTGGCACCCTCGTCTGGTGTATCAAAGTCGGCTTCCAAAAAACAACCACCTGAGGGCTTGAGGGTGCACAGGACCCATCTTTTTCTCAAAACTGTCCCAAGTGTGAGTTTGTGAAGTTTGTGCAGGTCCTTCCCCAACTACACCCCCATCTGGTTTCACCACTTCCTAGAGGTGTCCAACCTGTCCAGGGGACAGGGATCTATTTCTAGAGAGAGGTCAGAGATGAAAGACAATTCTGTAGCAGGCAGCATCTAGATAGCGGGTGCTGAGAGGCTGGTTCAGCCTGTCCAGAGCCTGGGGATCTGGAAAAAAATATATACATAACTAACAAAAAAAATTTCTTTCTATATTCCATTATTACTATTATTAGCTACATATTATTGAACGCTCCTTGAAAGAAGTATAGTCAGACTATGGTTAGCTATATATTATTGAATATTATTATTTATCAATATCACTATTACAGTCAATGTTACTATTATTAGTTACATATTATCGAATGCTCCTTGGAAGCAGTAAAGGCCTTCTATAAACATTTTCTCTAAACTTTATAACAAATCTCCAGTGTTGATATTGTTTCCCTACTAAAGAGATTTGAACACTGAGTCACAGAGAAGAACATAGACTTGTTTAATAACAGAGCTAGTAAGTATTGGGGTGACAATGCACATATAGAGCTCCAGGAATCCCACGTTCTCCCAGCCATGAGGTGGTTCTACTTGTGACTTTTCTGAAGATGCTAGGAGTTTGGAAAAAAAGGAAGTGCAAGCTCATTTCACAAATCTACAATCTCTAAGTATCACATCCTGTGTGTGGCTGTAAACTCTGGACTAAGGAAGGGCTGGTGACCTTCAAAAGATGAAGGCAAGTAGAAAAATCTACAGGAATGTGTGAGAACCCAGAGTTACAGTCTCCTGGGAGTTTTTGAGCACTCAGCTGGAACCAACAGGCTGATCCACAAGCACAAGTAGGCAGTGCTGAGAGATTGTTTTCACCTTCCCACGCCCCTGTTGTGCCTCCTGAGAGGGGATATTTGGTTGGAAGCTCATGGAAAGAATTTAAGAGGCACCAGAGTATTCTGGAAATAGAGTGAGCAGAGAGAGGGAGTATCTGGTTTAACTCTTTCTGCTGTTTTCTGTGTCATCTTGATGAGTCCTTTACCTGAGGTCATGTGATTAACGGGAGCCCAGTTCTTACCCCTTTAGATGTTCGTGGGCCCTGTGCAAACTGGACAGTCCCTGGGCTGAGAATGGTGCCCCGAACAGATATCCAAGCTGAGCTCGCCGCTAATACAGCTAATACAGCTAATAAACATCACAGGTATTGGTCCTTGAGGCAAGCAGAGAGCCGGGCCTTGAACCTTGGTTTCATGACTCCAGGTCCTATTCCCATACTTCTGCGCGCTGCTGCTTCTCCAAACTGAATTCGCGCAGGCGCAGGCTGCTGGGGGGGGGGGGGGGGGGGGGGGGGTGGCGGACGAGAAGGTCGCATGCTCTAGTGAATTGTGCGAAGGCTCCAGACTCAGAGAGAGCTGGGGTCCAGCCCCGGTTCTACAGCTCCCCAATTGTGTGAGCGTGCCTGAGTAATCATTATAACTGCAAATATTTCTTCGGCATTAACTCTTTGCCATGCATATATGCAAAGTGAGTATTATTTCCATTCATAATAAACTTTTTGATTCTGAGTTTCCCTAAATATGACATGGTTTTGCTAACTAAAGAACTAACATACAGGGTTGTTGTAAGATTAAAGGCGCTATAGGATGGGGTCGCCTGGCTGGCTCAGTCAGTAGAACATGTGACTCTTGATCTCAGGGTTGTGAGTTCAAGTCCCATATTGGATGTAGAGCTTACTTTAAAAAAAGAAAAAAAGGCATTACAGGATAATGTCCAGTAAAATACGATAAAAAATACCTAGGGTTAGTCCCGGTAAGTATTATGATTGGACTAAAAAATGAACAGAGTTAGTGTGAGATATGCAGAACCTGAATAGGCAATTTAGTTGTTGTGGGTAGAACTAGAGGAAAGAGATTTCTACATTTTGCAAGTTTTTGTGGCCATTTGCCTCTGGACGTTGAGACCTCTCACGATTGGTGTTGCTGCTTCCCTGTGATGTGTCTCTTATCTATAATGAATGAACTGTGCCAAAAAATATTCATGATACCAAATCTTTGTGGTTTTCACAGCTCCATGCTATCAGTTTCCTTCCTGAAAGGATAGGTTAAGTCAGAACTAGTGGGAAAATACTGGCTCCCAGTTTGGGGAGACTCAAGAGCTCTATACTTTTTAAGAGCTGAATTTATTTTCTCTTCCAGTGTTGATGGTACCATCATATCACAGCCATGGCCAATCAGACCATCATAGTTCTGACACCAAACGGCATCAATTTCCCCCAAACAGAGGAACCCAAACCCACCAACCAGAGGCAAGACAGCCTAGAGAAACATCTAAAGGCAGATGTCAAAGTCCTTGGGGTAAGTCCAATTCAGAACTAGCCGGACTGGGATGGGGAGGGGGCGCAGGAAAGGAACTGAAGTCTTGGAACTACATCATGAGTATGGAGGCTCTTAAGTTTTGCCAGAGGAACTCCAGGTTGATGGGCAGACCAATGGAAGCCCCCTAGAGGGCCATCTGAATCTTTCCCAGACATAAGATGATATGAAAAGTGTATTTCTCCTATTCTGAATCTGAGAATTGGCTTTTTTTTCTCTTTAAATTTTTTATTGTTATGTTAATCACCATACATTACATCATTAGTTTGTGATGTAGTGTTCCATGATTCATTGTTTGTGCATGACACCCAGTGCTCCATGCAGAACGTGCCCTCTTTAATACCCATCACCGGGCTAACCCATCCCCCAGCCTGCTCCCCTCTAGAACCCTCAGTTTGTTTTTCAGAGTCCATCGTCTCTCATGGTTCATCTCCCCCTCCGATTTCCCCCCTTCATATGTCCCTTCTTACTATCTTCTTTTTTTTGTTTTAACATATAATGTATTGTTTCAGAGGTACAGGTCTGTGATTCAACAGTCTTGCACAATTCACAGCACTCACCATAGCACATACCCTACCCAATGTCTATCACCCAGCCACCCCCTCCCTCCCACCCCCCACCACTCCAGCAACCCTCAGAATTGACTTTTTGTTGATGTTTCTGTATTTTTGCAACAGCACGCTTCTCAACATTTTCTTTTTTAAAAAAACCACCTTATTGAGGAATAATTCACATACAAAAAGCTGTACATCTTTTTTTTTTACAAAAGTAATGGCAAATAATTACATATTTTAGGTACTTTTTTTCTGTGTTCACCAACTGCATGCTTGATACTCCGAATGATTTTTTTTTTGAAGGGAATTTTTCCCTCACCACAAATTATAGGAAAAATAAACCTCCTTCCCCCTTTTTCTCCTTCCCTTTTGAGAACAGAGATATTTGTCTTTTGCCAGCTTCTCTCCTCTTGTGCATGATTTATTAAAGAAGCTCTGTGGAGCAAAGTGGGGAGGGAGGGAAGGATATACCCAGGACTGGGAGGGAACTACAGAGCTCCGCCTTCTGGAATTGTTTCTGCACTTAGATATGATCTAAGTTCGCAGAAGTCAGTGGGAATGGGGCGACGGGGTGGCTCAGTCCTTAAGCATCTGCCTTCGGCTCAGGTCATGATCCCAGGGTCCTGGGATCGAGCCCCGCATCGGGCTCCCTGCTTTGCGGGAGGCCTGCTTCCCCCTCTCCCACTCCCCCTGCTTGTGTTCCTGCTCTCGCTGTCTCTCTCTCTGTCAAATAAATAAATAAAGTCTTTAAAAAAAAAAAAGAATTCAGTGGGAACGATTGCCTTGTCTCCAATATACGATCCTGTGGATTTCTATGAGGCTCGTGGACATGATGTTTGGAAAACGTTGGCTTGGTAAATGTTAACAGAGCCAGAAATATCTGAGGTGGATGTCAAGGAGGAAAACTTGTCCACTTGGAAGCCAAGATCCTCAGCTATAGGGACATGGACTGGAGGGGGCAAGGAGCTGGCCAGGGGGCCAGGCTCTCCGTGGTGTCCAGCAGGGTCTGTGGGGTGTAAGGAGGCACGTCCACACCACCAGGGCTAAGACGGCGTGAGGGCTTTCAGATGTCCCCTGTTCCATAAGAAGTAGAAGGAGAATTAGTAGCAACGGAATCAGAGAGCCGGGGGAAACAGTCTCTCAGGGAGCCGGCAGCCAGACAAGGGCGGAGAGGCAGAGATGCCTGAAGACTTGCTGAGCACTTGCCAGGTGCCCCGAGACGGCAGTTGCGTGCGGCACAGCAGCATCTCCTCCAAGTGTCTTTGCAGGGTTCTCACTCTAGAGCTTTTCGGTGTCTGTATCCTTGCCGGGGTCCTGCAGAGAGTGATAATGTGCGGTCACCCTGGGAGAGATAAAGATGCCTTGCCTTTCCAAATGCTGATTTTAATCCTCCATCTCCCTTCTCCCAGCAGACCATCCAGATCCTGTGTGGGGTGATGGTGTTGAGTTTGGGAATTATTGTGGTGTCTGTTCCTTCCTCTCCACAATTTACCCCGATGCTTTCCACCCTGTTGAAGGCTACTTACCCATTCGTAGGAGCCTTGTGTGTGAGGTGAGAGCCTTAGAAGGACAGAGGGTTAGGCGGAGATTGGGTGAGGAGAGGTGGGAAGAAATCCTTGAGGATTTCACAAGTTTGTCCTGTTTTCTATTCCAAGATCCCATCAAAGATACTACATTACATTAATCATTGTGTCTCCTTCGGCTCCTCTATACTTTCTCACACTTGTCCCTGAGGATGTTGAGTAGCACTGGCCAGGAGTTTTTGAATTCTAACAATGTTGCTAAATTTGGGTTCACCTGATATTTTTTTTCTCATGTTCAGACTAATTGTGATGGATTTTCATGTGGAAGGGAGAGAGGTGAGGTGTCCTACAAGGGCATATGCTATCAACGTGATTTGTCACTGATGACGTTAACCTTGACCCTGAGGCTGACTCTGCTCTTTGAGAGCAAGTCATGAAGCACAGCCCACATTGGTAGAGGCACCTCGTCCGATTTTGAAGACAGGCTTTATTTAGGCAGACCTAAAGTACTTAATGTTGGGGCTGTAGGATCTACAACTTTTCTCTTCTCTCTGTTTTGTCCCATTTTTTTCCCCATTGTTAAAGGATTTTCTGTTACTTCACTGTCCCAAATCTATTAGGTTATGAATATTGTAAAGCGGTATCTTTGACTTTCGGAACACAGCATTAATGACTCACTGCCTCCAGCCTTCTCTTCTGTCTGATCTCAGCCACCACTCCACCCTAAGCTGGGGAACCACCAACTTAAAATATATTTCTCTGTCCTCCCGTATCTGTTAACTGCCCCCCTCTTTTCTTTTTCCATACCATTGCTTTCATATTTTTCTCTACATAATGTCTAACTCCAAAACTTTCTTCTGTCATTTAAAAAACACCTTCTTTCCTGGCTCTTAAGGCCCTCATTTTGTTTACTGGGATAGATTCCTACTTATATTTGCTTTTGTTCATGCTTTTCTGAATACTCTGTGGGAAAAAGAGTAATATCTATGTAATTAATTGGGTCTTACATTGTTGGTCAAAGGTTTCCCGGGACTGTTTCCGTAGGAGTTTTCCATAAACACCACAATAATAACATTGTAGCCTCACCTGTACATAGAAACTGACCTCACCATTGTCTCTCCTTTCTGAGTAGTTTGTCATTTCTGGAATTCTATCAATCATCATGGAGAAAAAGTCAACTAAACCTTTGGTGAGTATGAGGACCAAAACCCCCAACTCATGGATTGAAATGAAACTGAATAACTCTTTAAGGTCAATCTCTCTACCTTGCAGAGTTGGAAATTAAGTTTCAGAGCAGATATTTGGCACAGTCAGGAACTGAGCCTGGCTCATAGATATTCCTGCCCAGTGCACATTCCTCCAACCATGTACCCTAAATCACACTCTCCATCAGGGTGTTGTACTATGCCCTAGATCAGTGCCCAGGAATCTATTTTAGAAAATGTCTGCCTCCTTATAATGTCCTTTTAATGGTAACTGGCCTTCAATTTTAGATCTTCAATGACAAAGAAGGTGACAATGTTATAAAGAGATCTATTTGTTGTGGATTCACTGTGTAAGCCCATCTGTCCAAACCCTTGAGAAAACCCAGTCAAAATGTTATTTATGTGCGGACTTATCTCTCATTCTTTTATCTATCTGATCTAAAAATTAATACTTTTCTTAGATTTGAATATGAACTCTCAGGTCCTAAAAGATGTCATTAGTCATTGGTATTGGTTAAGAAAACAACTTCACCTGCATTTAACTCTTCTAGGAAAACCAGAATTGGGAGTGGCAGGGAGAGGAAAGCTGCATTATAGGGAGATTTCTAATCTGTAAATATTCACTAAGTCTTCACTCAATCCTAGATCCCTCAAGTAGTTTGATATTGAGGGTCATGGGTGAGAATGCCATATAACACAGTAGCACAGAAATGCAATTTGGAAGCTCTGCTTGCAAACATTTCCTGAAGATGGCAGGAAATTAGAGAGAGTGCTCAAGGATAATGTCAATCTATCTCTTTTTTTTTTTATCAGAATTTAGAGACTGATCATTTGGAACCTTCATCTAGCCTCTAAACTTCTAGATCAGCGTTGTCCAGTAGAACTTCCTGTGACGATAGAGAATCAGTTAGTCATGCTGCCCAGGCTGGTGGTCACATCTTGCAACTGATAACTTGAAATGTGGTTAGTGAAATTGAGAAACTGAATTTTAAATTTTACTTGAGTTTGCTTTAAATATGAGTAGCCCAGGGGGCTAGTGACAACCACATTGGGTAGCACAATACAAGAATAATATGTCTAGATTTTTGGGGGGAAGCTTATGTTGTTCTTACCCCAGAGAAGAGCAATACCAGAGTGAATAGGGCAGCAGACTCAAGGATATATGGGGTGTGGGTTTGGGATATGCTCAGGCTCATCAGAGTCATCTGTCCTTTAGTGAATTCTACTGTGGTCACACATTATACCAGCCCTTTCGGGCTGGGGAAGAATGCTGTCCCAGAACAAACCTAAATCATTCTAAGAAATATATCCTCTGGAAATCCTGACTGTTGCTGGCTATCAGGAGGCCCAGGAGCATGCACTTTAGTCATTATTTTAGGAAACTGGGGTTAGGAGGAGAAAAACACCCTGCCTGTTCTCTACCGTGCCCCCAGAGCTCCAACTGCCGAGCCCCTAAAGGAGGAGCAGCCTGGGTGGGATTATGTAATATTCTAATTCATGGCTATTGGGTGTGCCCTGAACTACCCTTACCCATAAATAGAGCTTTTGGGATAATCCTAGATCAATTCCCCCTTCTGTGAATTGGGGTAGAAGGGAACACATTTCTGAGATCATTTTATTTATTCCCCTCACTCACCCTATAAATGTAGAAATGAAAACCAGAGAAGGAAGTGAAATTAGAGAACTGAGCACTCCAGAAAATGGAGAGGACCCCAGGCAAAGCTACCACTGGGATCCGAGTTTCCTGACATCCAGTCTGATCTTTTACCTCGCACTGCTGCAAGCGTGTTACACCATCCTTGGGCCTGGGGCTAGAACTCCGGCTACATTCATTCATATGGGGACCTGTGACCACCAGAGCCTGACCACTCCAGTGCTCACCTAAGCCTGAGGACTATGTTCCCACACTCACCTTTGGCAGTGTGTGTGTATTTAAGAGGGTCGTGTGCAAGGAGGAGTAGCTTCTTTCATCTGCCTCTTCTGTGTGGCCGATGGCTTCCTCAAGGGGTTTCTGAATGAGTCGGGGGAGAGAGAAATCATAACTGCCTTTGGTCATACTCTTTTGGGGATTCGCAGGCACGGCCCCGTGGAGCCCTGCTCTCAGTCCCAAGTAGAGAATTTAGAAGAGCAATATTCTCTGCCACCTACTGAAGTCCTGCCTAGGGAGAAACATTTCATATATTCATTCACTTAGCCAAGATTTATCTTCTAGGTTCAGAGATGTTGCTAAGTACTGGGGAGACATCCTGGTTTAAGTCTACCAATGCTAGATCCCCTGAGGGACACAGATAAGAAAATAAATTTTTTGCAGTGCATTGGCAAAGAGGGATAAGAGGTATGTGTTGCTCATTGACAGTGATTCTTACTCAGCCTTTGTCTTTCAGGCTCAGAGCAGTGTGGCTGCAAATATTCTGAGCTCTCTATGTGCTCTTGTGGGTTTTATTCTCCTCTCTGGCAACCTGGCTGCTTTGGATTCTGCCTTTTGGAAGTGTGACTTGAACAGAGAGGACAGAGTACCTAAAGGGTATTCACTTTTCCATTATCTGCACCCATATGCTAAGGACGACTGTTTCACGGCCAAAACCACTCTGCCTGTAAGTATTTTTAGACAGGTTTTCCAATCTTACGAGGTTTCGGAAATCCTTGACTTTTGTCATCCCTTATTTTGAAGATCTAATTCTTTCTGGTTTGGGCATCTGGGGGAAAGCGAGGGCTATGCGAACAGCAGGGGACTGCTTGACTGAGATGAAGGGGCGAGGTTCTGGAGTTACATACCAGTGAGGTGGAATGGAAGAGTAAATGTCCAGTCAAGTTGATGATGAAAAATGAAAACTTACTGTTGATAGAGTTTCTTAATAATCAAAGTAATTCTGTTGTTAGAGGTATACAATAGGAGTTTGCCCAACCAAAAATCTTGGCACATGGAATGGTAACTTAAGAAAGACAAAGACAGCAGGAAGACCCAAGTGGTCAAGAAACCTGGAAAATATGTGTGATGCGGGGTTAACTCAGTCTGAGTGGACACTGGGCCCAGCACCGAGAAGCGGAAAGCAGGAAATATGACCTCGGAGGTGAGGGCTCCTTCTCCTTCCGGGTACCACAGTGATGAACAGGATTGATCAGGGGAGAAGGCAGCATCATTGTTGTTTGTGAAAGCTTCCAGCGGTGGGACTTATTAAATTGGGAAAGAAGAGACGTAGAAAGATGGAGAATGGGAACTGATTATGATTGTCATTATTGGAAAAAAGCAAGCACTGAAGTTTGGCTAATAGAAATAATGTCACATCAAAAACTAATGACGTAATGTATGGTGATTAACATAACAATAAAAAAGAAAGAATGTCTTCAGTTGGAGCATTAAAGTGTATGTGTATGGTTAGAAAACACTAGGAAAGACACAGGCACGTAAGAATAAAGAGGCTGCAGAGTATCTGTTGTCCCACAACCACAAAAGTGAGTTACATCAAGGCCACAGCTGGAGGATGGTCAGATGCTGACAGAGCTGGTCAAGCAAGCCCTTGCACACCATTCCTTGCGGACCTGGCCGTAGGCGCTTCTCTCCAGGTTCTTGATATTATAATGAGAAAAAGTACATGCAAATGAGGTTAATAGTAATTGGCATAAACCAACACATGGGCGAGGCAGCCCCACCTTGGGAAAAATTCTGGAGAGAAGTTTGGGAAGGATTGTGGAATGGATAAAGTATGAATTCCTGAGGGATAATTTTGCTTTATAAACAAAGGGATTATACTGCACATGCTCGCTGGGACAGTTTCTAATTAGTGTAAACAAGTTGTATTTCCTCTTGAACTGTACATAAGTAGACTAGAGGTTTGTGCAATCACGTTTTCTCTCCTGGTCTATCAGGTTGCTGGGTCTGCATGAAGGATGACTCGGGACAAAAATGGTAGAACCTAGTCTCGGCATAATATCTTTTTTGAGTTGGTGTGGGTTGTTAGTAATGGAGGCAGCTTGGTTCATGCTGTGTTTATTGCTTTGATTTTCTTTCTCTTACCGACATCAGGAAAGGCTAAGAAAGCCTTTTACAAAGGGCTTGCACCAGTGAGGTCAAAACCTCATTGATTCTCAGGTATCTCTGAGAAGGAAATCTCATTGTACATTTGATAAATGTGGAGACTTCAGGCTCACACAGCTACTAAGTGGCAGAGATGAGGCCAGAATGGAGGCTGTCCCATCTCAGTCTTGGGCCTTATTGTGTCACTCACTGAGTGAACAATGTAATCGGATGTTGCTATGTCTCAGCGGGATAGGAAACAATGTACAAAGTGGGTTATATGGCTGATGTAGTCTGCTCATCCCCCCTCTCAAGGGAATAAATAAGCAAAGGGATTAAATGAAGCCAATTGCTAGGCTAGGAAGGAGCATTGTTCTCTTGCTGAGGATGTTCTTCCTTCATCCTCTGGTGGCTGAGGCGGTCTTCACCTCTACGGTCAACACTGAACAAGGCATGAAGGTGTCGGTTGATGCAAGCACTGCCAATGTTGTATTTCCTGAATTTCAGGGAACTCTGTCTGTGATGCTGATTTGCACGGTGCTGGAGTTCTGCATGGCCGCGCTCGCTGCTGTGGTTTGGTGGAAACAGGCTTACTCTGACTTCGCTGGGGTGAGTGTGCTGGCCGGCCTCCCTGAATCCTGCCAGGTGTATCTCCAGTTCTGGGCTGTGTTGAGCGATGTCAGCAAGAGTGGCAGAAGGGTCGGCAGTTGTCGGTCATGAGATATACATGGGAGACAGCTTGATGGGGGGTGGAAGACTGATGAGGAAAAGCGGATGGCAATTGAGTAGCTGACCAGCTGAGGGTTAACCAAGTGGGGTGGTTGAACCTGGAAATCGACTGGTTCAATCTTTCTATTTTGTAAATGCAGAAACCTGGAAGTTAAATGGCTTACCCAACATTGTGTATGAGTTTGTGCTCAGTCAGGTCCCTAGAACTTGGCTTGTGTCTTTTCCAGACAGGAACACTTTCTACCATAGCCCTAGCCTGCCTAACAGCCTTGACTTGGTCAAGGGCATTTGCATGACTGGATTTGATAAATGTCCTTATGCTCTAGTGTTGCCTTCCTGTGATCTTAAAATTATTTTTTCACCTAAAAGATACTTTTAAAAAATAGTTGTTTCAAATTCCATGGGACAGCACCCTACCACCACTACAGACTCATGGCTTCATTTCACTGAATTAAAAAGCCTTGATTTATCCAAAATTGTATTACAGAAAGCAGAATGAATATTGAGCTGATGAGCAGCACTTATTTGAAGAACTTAATGACATACTATACTCATCTTGTATACAATGTATATATATATATATACACAAAGGTGGAGGAAATGGTATCAAGCGTGTACCTGAGTAAAGTTTGAAGAACTAACGTGTGAAGAACAAGCATCTGAAGAACTTACATATTTTGTTTCTTTTAGAGTGTGCTTTTCCTGCCTCAGAGTTACAAGAATAAATCCAGCATACCTGCAAAAGCATTTTCTGACCCTGGCTATGAAGAACTATTGACTTCTTAGGGGAAATTATTCAGCAGAAATTTGGTTTTATGATGATATATAAAAACCAACCAAAGAAACTCAACTCAAGAAAGCGGTTTGAATTCTCTGAAATGTAGGCTTTTATATAATGAACATTGAAAATATGTATCTTTAAAAGGATGCTGTAATTTAAAAGACCACAAAGACATAACATGTTTCATTAAACTGTGTGAAATGCTCTGTTTTTCTTTGACACAAATAGTAGCAATATTCAGCTTGTGCTATCTAAATTATTTAATCAACAAGATGTAGGAAAAAATATATATCTTTGTTTTCTTGTTATTGAATATATGTGTTCAATGGGGGTCTCTTGATTTGCCATTAGGAAAAGTGCAAATGTGTAAATTACCATTGCCTAGACTGCCAAATAGACATCTCCCAAGAAACTAGACAGAATTGTGTGATTCAGGGGTCGTGGTAAAGTAAGAGAGTCAACTCTTCCTTGTCCTCCTTAATTGTCAACAGGAGTTAGCTGAGTAATGGTGGTGTTCAGACTCTTTTATGGTACACTAGTGTTGCATCACATGATTATCCTCATTACAGCATGCAGACAAGCCCCCTACAATTAAATCTCAGGAGCTGTGTAAGTAATTGGCTTCAAAATAAAATCTTTACTGGATTACTCTGATGTGTGTGTTTTTCGACATCACCAAGCAATTAACTCAATGCTGACACTATCGATCTACCTGGAGATAGCATCAAAGGGCTCAGTGGCTACAGATGGAGGTTCTCAAGACCGCTTCCTTGGTTCAATTAATTTGCTAGAGTGGCTCACAGAACTCAGAGAAACAGTTCATTTACTAGATTACCAGTGTATTATAAAAGGATACAACTCCAGAATAGCCATATGGAAGAGAAACAGAGGTCAAGGAATAGGAAGGGCTGTGGAACACCACAGTCCCTGAATCTCCCTGGGTTTACCAAGAAGCTATACCAAGCCTATCCTTTTGGTGTTTTATGGAGGCTCTGTTACATATGCACAAGTGATTAAATCATCAGCCATTGGTGATTAAACTCAATTTTTAACCCCTCTCTCCTTTCCAGATGTCGGGGGGTGGCTGGGCTGAAAGTTCCAATTCTCTAATCATAAGGTTGGTTCCTCTGCTTGGGGAGGTTCCCCTACCTATCCTTAGGTTCCCTGAGGGCTTTCCCAAAGTCAACTCATTAACATAAAAAAAATACATCTTTACTGCTCTGTAACTTAGGAAATTCCAGATTTGTGTCAGGAACTGGAAGGAAGACTAATTATATATTTCTTATTATAAATATCACAAAATCATCATTACATATTTTTGGAAACTCATTTTTTACTTTTCCTTTTAAATACAGAGTAAGTCAACAATGATAGATATAAACCTAAATTTGAACTCCTTTCTCCCTCATCAACTATTCAAACAAAACAAGCAAACAAAGGCTAACTAAAATATTTATTAAGAGATAGCCAGTTCATATTTTTTTCTGATTTCAAAATAAGAAAGAACAATTGTTCCAGTGTAAATGTTAAGCCTCAACACACACACACACACACACACACACACACACACACACACACACACA